GGTCACTCGTTACTGATAGCGTGCGAGGAGCGCGACGCTCGTGCTCCTCGAGCCTAGGATTTACATCCATCGGTGTTGCAGACGCACTGTCTGACATTGCACCGCGTGCAGTATACGAAGTTGGGCTCTGCCCGTGTTCGCTGTCAGAACTAGCGAGACTTGGTGACTTTAGTGCCGTTGGCAAAGAACTCATTGAGCACGGAAGTCGTTTTGTTCAAACGAACCAAGTTGCAGTATCTAGCGGACACGCAAGCCTCGTTGAGGCAATATCTATTGGAACTGTACATGTTCTCAATCGTAATGGAAGAGAGTGTAATGGGGTTACACGTACCCTGGTAACAGGGGGGGTCACACGAGATAGGCATGGTGTGATTGCACCCACATAAGAATAAGGTATGTGGCTGGGTAGCCAGTAGTTATGCATGTATCTAGATTTCACTATATATATTAGGAAAAATCTATAAATTTTAAATTTGGCGGCTTTGCCGCAGATAAAACTAAAATAAAAATAGTTTTGGATTTTAAGCAGAAGAGTAAATAGCCTTGGGTAAAGGCGATAATTACTCTTGGAGTAAGCGAATTGCGATCCGCTAAACTCGTATTTGATCTAAGTATAGAATAAAAAGTCGGTGACCTAACTTACGCTTCCTCAAAGCGCAAAGCTACGGCGGCCCCTCTGCAGGCCACGTATCCAAAGCAGTATCCTAGTAGGGGCTTCGTCGAAGCTAAATGTCTATTTGTCTATGTTTACAAAAGACCGTTTGGAACGTATAGACTATAGCCTTTACTACAAGTTTTTATTGCATACGTTCGCATTCATTTCCCCGTGCTTTGTGTGACTAATACCAAAACGTCTTCAAAATAAAGTCGGCGCGTATCCAAAATGCGGTCAAACTGCTGAACCATCGGGTAGATGAACATCGCTTTTATATATCTGATAGTACATGTGGCATCATCAGCACTCTCAGAGCTTCGAGGCCATAGTAGTCAATGCTGAATGAGAGGAATGTCACTGGCTCTCTAAGCCGTCGGTATATATTCATCGACTAATTTAGCAGTACTAAACAAGATGCAACGACTATGCTGATTTTCAAGACGTTCTTTCGAGGATTAGCGTTTCCACCACGAACAAAGTGCCGTTCTCCGTAAGCCATTCTAAGGCAGAAGCTGGCGCTAAGCGTGTAGAGAAACCCTCTCTGACCAGAACCGTTACGAAGGAACGTGTCTTTGCCGTCAAATTATTCCCTCGGAAATGACTTCTTACGCGTGACTTAATATTCGCAGTCAGAAGCTAGGTTATTTCCTGTCGCACCCCCCCCCC